TGTTACAAGGCCTGGTCGAATACACTGTTATGGACAGTGCACCCCCTGAAACCCATCAAATGGGCTCTATGGGCCCAATACTTATCCTAAGTGGTCCCTGGGCTAAGTCACCTTGTAACACCTAGGGACTGTGGGCAGATGCAAGATTAGCCCATTAGGTATTACCTTCAATGGTCTTACACTTAACCTCTTAGCCCATAATGATCAAACACTGTCCGACAAGAGAGGACATCTCCCTCGGCTGCAAGGAACAGTGTTGCACTCTCTACTTATATGGATCTCGAGAATTAAAACATTTTTGCAAACATTTTAGAAACCATAATATATATATTGTTATATCTCATATAAAATATACTTTGCAAAACAAATCTCAACGATTGAAATCGGCTGCCGACAGTCTTGGTTTCCATCAGTGATAGTGCATCCCCGATCATTACCTTTGTCCGACAAAAGGGCTGATTTGTCACTATGATCACCCACTCAGATGAATTCTCAGACTGTCCCAACATACCCAGGTTTTGATTCCCGCTAAGGATCTCATTGATTGGTACATCATAGACAGGCCAATCCGACACCTAGTGCAGTATCATAATCGAGTCTAGGGGTTGGGTGTAATTTTCCAGTTTTGTCCATTAATCTCCAAGGTCCAAAGCAACACTGGAAATCTAGTCAAGTTCTAAGATTCAATTAATCATACACTATATGTGCCTAGGGTCTCACCCTAGCAGCTGAGATAGGCCACCACAACCGACTTTGTGGCACCACAGTGTCAGTCTTATCAGGATAGGTCTTCCCAGACCGACCCACTGGTTGTGAGCATTCTAAACTAACACGAGTCTCATTAAGTGTCCAGTTTAAGGGTATTGCATAGGAACATACCAAGGGAACATGAATCAAATATGCACTTTTATTCATTTACAATAAACTCATAAAGTACATCATTCTGATTGAAGCTAAGGGCATACAAAACTGTCTAACACTAGCATTGAAGCCGACTTTCGCTCATTAGCTAACTCCACAACAGAATTACTATGGCTTCAGTCCCTATTATGGGATTTGGGCGTTTGTCAGTCTGTTTCGCCTATTCTTTACTGTGATAATATTGGTGCCACGTACCTAGCAACGCATCCGGTGTTTTATGCTCATACCAAGCACATTGAAGTGGACTTTCATTTTTTACGTGATCATATTCTCTATAAAAATCTAGATGTTCGATTTATCTCTACTGATGATCAACTGGTCGATATCTTTACCAAGCCTCTTGCTCCAGTTCAGCTTGATCTTCTCCAATCCAAGTTTCACGTGCTTCCTGCCCCGTTTTGCTTGAGAGGGTGTATTAAGGAAAGCTCTCCCAAAGGTAACTCTACAAGACTAATAGTTACCAGTGGAGGCTCTTAATCCAGAATAACAAATGCTAATAAAGGATGTTTAGCACTGGCCAATGATAGATCTCCTCCAATTACCGATGAAGACTTAACAAGAATTAATTAAAAATCTTTGTACATAGGCAACTACCTATCCTATTCTTAATTTCTTTATTTATTCTTTAATCTTTATGTATATATACTATATTCATCTAAGCCTGGTTGACAGGTCAAACAATACAACAATTTTTTTATTTTATATTTTCTCTCCTTTACAACTTTATCTAGTAGAACGGGTCCAGAAGGTATTGTAAGTCATTTTGATAAACTCAATTGTATATTTAAGTCTTTTACCCATAATTTTAAGTTCTAAAATATAAAACTTTTTGGTTTGATAAAGTATAATATTCTTGAAGCACCATAACTTTGTGTTTATGTATGTTAAAATCTTAAGTCTAAAAATAAGAAGATTTTAGAAAAATAAAGTAACAAAACCTGGCGTGGCCCAAACCTAATCTGGGTTGAGAATTTAATAACTCAAATTGGGCTAGGATTGGCCTCAACCCGACCTAATCCGCCAGGGTTGCACCCCTAAATCCCTAATTCTTGTGTGTGTGTTTTGGTGTCGCCACAATGAAGTGCAGCAGGAGAGGTGTGTTGCGTCTTTGAATAAAGTATTTGCTTCTTCGTGTCAGGACTAAAGTCCTCTCTCCCTCCCTCCACGGGTTGTAATCAAAATTTCGGCGGTCATCTGCGAGATGAGATTCCAGAAATAGACGGTCAATGGTAGCACTATGACTGTCGGAGATGTGATTGCAAATTTGCAACCGGTGGAGAGGGAGGGATTTTAGTCGTAACTTGAACAGATCAGATGCAGGTGTAAATGTGATTGTTACAGTTAACGACGCATGTTCCCTCTCTGCTCGTGTTTTGCTCCCACACGAATCCAGGACATGTGGCGCAACCAGCCGATGTGAGGACGGTGTGATGTGCCCCGTTGTGAGGAGCAGATCCGGATTCTTTTGTTGACAGTACAGTAGATAATAATAATAACTTAAGTGGGTTTACATTGGACTTTTGTCAAATTTTGAAAGGGCTCATCGCAAAGGCCTGAGCACAAGACAGTATACTTGGGTGGGTTATTGTTATTATTATCCGTGTTACAACTGAGTTAGTTGATCTCCAATAGAAATGTAACTTGGGTGGACTTAGGTTGGGCTTTTGTCAAATTTTAAAAGGACTCAGCCCAAAGGCCCACACAATACAGTATACTTTGGTATAGGGATGGCAATTTTTCTTATTTTTTTGATTTTTATGGGGATCTATTCCAAATGGGGTGGGGATAGGGAAATTTTCATTCCCGTTAGCAGGTATAGGAAAAGCACTCCCTGCCCTACAAGGACCCCAATCCTTGTCCAATGGGATCCCACTAATATATATGTATATATGTATGCATATGTTATATATGTATATATGTACACATACATCTATATATTAATATTTTTAAAAATATTGTTGAATATGTTTGAATCTTTTTTAATAGGATTGTAAATTTTAATTATTTATTTTTATTTTTTAAATAAAATAAAAGAACAAAATGATTAACATTATAAAAAATCATTGGGGATGGGAATCCCCATGGGACGGGATGGGAATAACGAGGGGTGGCAACGAGCCGAGCTTTTCATGAGCTGCTCGAGCTTGGCTCGTGAAAAGCTCGACTCGGCTCGGTTTCAACCGAGCTCGAGCTCGAGCTTGAGCCTAATTCAATGGCTTGATTATTGAACGAGTCAAGCTCGAGCCTACTAGAGCTTAGCTCGTGAGGCTCGCGAGCCGGCTTGAATATATATATTTTATAATAATTATAATATTATAAAATATTATAATTATTAATTTTTTAAATATAAAATAAAAAAATTATATATAATTTTTATTTTTATAAATTATTTTTTCTTAATATTTTTATAAAATATAAAACGAGCCGAACTCGAGCTTAAGGTTCTAGCTCGAACCAAGCTCGAGCCTGGTACTATTCTGCTTGGCTCGCGGCTCAAATCCACCTCTAGGAATAACCTTGTCCCCATTAGCAGGGATGAGAATAGGGACAGGGATGGGGATTTTCACGAAGACGGGGATAGAGAGGCTCCTCGTCCCCACCTGCCCGATTGCCATTCCTACTCTGATGGGCTACACAATTAAACCAAAAAAGAAAAAATAAAAAACTCGAGAAGGAGATGGCTAAATACCCAGAAGATTAAAGATTTGTACTCCCAGATTTCTTTTTTTATTTTTTGAAAAAAAAAAGGTGTGTGAAAAGAGGAACATGACGGTACTTCCAAACCAATCCAAGTGGACATTAATTTTTCCAATGCTCGATGGAACATGACGGTTGAGAAATTAATGTATTCAATAACTATTTTGAACCTTAAAACAAAGTAAGGATACTTAGAGAATTGGGTCCAAATTTCAACTATAAAACAGAACATGTGGATTTATAGGAAAATGGTTACAACTACTCACCATTCGTTCTGTTCAGTGCCATATTCATCATTAGTTGGTCTAGTTTTTATGCCATAAAAAATGTCAGATGTTAGAATTATATCCAATCTACCACTCCCAAGACCCCAGAAAGCTGGGACCAATAGCATTTGACCTTTTTATTTACATCATTTCTTACTACTTCAACCCGTATATTTATTGTCTTTAAGGCTACGTTTGGTTATAGGGCAAATAAATTTGTATTGATATAAAATCATGGTAGTGCAAATGATTTGGATGTAAATTTTTATTAAAAATTTTACCTTATTTTGTTTGATTTCAGTACAAATAAAATAAAACCCAAAACAAAATTAAATCAGAACTTGAATTTTTTTTTTTATTTGTATTAGTACAAATAAAATTGCAATGCAACCAAATACAGCCTAATTCTTTTAGTCCCTTGGAATCATAATATATCACATCTAGCCCCTTAACTCTTATCTCACGGATGATAACCTCAATAATAAAATATAGTTCAAGTTGGATACATATTTCAATGTCAAAACATTCATCAAGTAGGTGTGCTTTCACCTCTAATGTTGTGATGCCATCACTTGTTAATTAATATGTTAATGGCAGAATTATTACAAATTGACAAGTTAAGGAGGTCCCGGTTGGTATTTGGTAAGCGGATTATGAAATATTATTGGCCAAGCAACAGCTCATAATTCTATTACTATCAATCAATCAATTTGAAGAGCCCAAATCTTGGGCCTGGACTCAAAAAGGCCCATAGATGGGTTTCGAGACCATGATTAATGGGCTGCTTATCCCATTCCCATGTTTCGAGTTATGTGACTTATAACGACCCAGCCAAGAGGCTGAACCGCTTCTCCCTCCGGGTCAAAGGGATCAATCCATAGCACAGAAAATCGATAACCCATTAAACGGTTTAGATGGGCCGGCATTCGACAAGTTGGTGATCAAATAAAATCAGTGGGATTTTGTAATAGGACGAGTCAGAGCAGAGGTTCATCCAAACCGGAATTGTAGCCGGATCACCGGTCCAATCAGCCCGGCCCAAGATTTGTTGAAACTTGAAAGCACTGTTTTGACCTTTTTTCTACCAAAAAAAAATTAAAAGAAAAGAAATTAAGGGGCTGTGGAACATCAATAATTCAATAGGACGCCTGCGGATAACAACTTAATAATAAAAAACTACATTTTGCAAGCGACATATGGGAAGAACATTGAGTTTGGTAGGTATCAATCGATCTCAATTTGAACAAATTTTGCCAACGACAAATATGAAGGACATTCAGTGACTCCATTCCCATTACCACCTTCAAGATGAGAGAGAGAGAGATCACACTGGGGCAGGATCTACTAGGCCAACCATTACCATCCATGAAAAGGTCTGTCAAACTTGCTTCACCTTTATTTTCTCTCTAATGTGTCTAAGAAAAATTAACATGATACACTTCAGTCATATTAGGATAATAGATCCCAAAATTTTGTTCTTCTCCTGCAGGCTTCAAGTTTTCATTGAATATGGCAAACAGGTAGGTCTCTAAGGCCTTCCCTGGCCTCCTTGGTGTCCCTGACCCTGCTGAGACATGCCCAATCAAGTTGTTAATATAACTTCGAGCATTGGCCGTCGTCGCTATGTTGCCATTTCCGGCCGACGGCCATCCGGTCTCCGAAACAACAACTTCAACATTTGGACCGCCGGCCTTCTCCAGTGCTGCATATACTGCATCAACCATAGCATAGAAGATGTTATCATACCTAAGTGAGCCATCTACTGTCACCACATTTGTTGATGTGAGTAATGCATAACCCAACTGGATGTTTTTAGAGTCACCATTGTAGGCAAAGTAAGGGTACACATTAACAAGCAGAGGACTCTGATTGGCCTCTAGGAACACTGTGATAGGTCCCATTGGAGAAGCAGATTCTGAGAATACCCCTTGAGAAGGAGGGTAAGATGATGCCAAGACTTGCATTGAAACACACGTAGTGACTGGGATTGAGAGACCTGCTGCTTTCAATGCACCATCCAAGTTCTTCATTGCTGAAAGAACATAGGCTGCCAATGGCCCAGGGATGACCTCATTGCCTGCTGATATATACTTGAAGCTCACTGTTGATGCATAAGGTATTACATTGGTTCTGACCCAGTTTGTAGCAACGGATGCATCAGTTGAGAGCTGTTGAAGATCTTGGTTTCGGACTCCGACGATAACCTGTAAACTGGATCCTTGTAAGGCCTTCAGAACGTCGGCGTTGGGATCGAAAATTCGAACGTTTTGGATGCTCCTTGATTGCAATAGGGCTATGACTTTGTCTGGGGTTGGGAGATTATCACCCAACAATCCATAGTTAACACCAACTCCTTGAATTCCTTCATCACCAAATCAAAGAAGGAAAAGCTTAAAAGTTAGAATTAGAAAACAATATAAGGATTCAGGAACAAGAACAAATGATGATGTGTTTGGGACACCCATAAGGCGCGCATGAACCATGAGAATTGCTGCTAGAAATTAAAGAGGATATGATGAGTTCTGTAAATAAAAGCAAGAAGATCATACCTGTTGGCTGAGTAACAAGAAGGAACACCATAATTGTGAAGAAGAGGCACAGATGAGCCATGGAAGCCATGGAACTAGAGTAGTTCTATGTCTCTTACTCCTGTTAGTAGGAACCCTGCTTTGAATTAATCAAATAAATATAGCAGAAGAGTTTGAATTCTCTTCTTTACGGAAAATGGAGAGAATATTAGTAAGTTGAGCTACCTAACCAAGTTAGCTTCTAATGCCCATCACCAAATAGAGACTGAAAAAATAAAATAATGTTGGATTAAGTTTGGCTTGCAACCAACCATTTGTCCTCTATGATATTTAAATGAATATTGGAGAATCAAGAGAAGAAAATTGCAGCCTTCCTATCTTCAAAATCAAAGTCAATAGCAATAGTGAAGATGGAAGGTAGAGAGTCCTGCGCTATATCCAACGCTCTTGAAAACGGCAGCTCTCAACTCTGTTTCCCTATGTTGCTCCTTCTCACAGGAGTCCAGTTTTGCAGTAATTAATATCAACTAAAAGACTATGTTGTTTGATAGAATTACTGTTTCTACATGAAACGAAGCGTTTTGAGTCGATCAATTCAAAGCAAATAGATGTTGTATTTCTCACTAATTTTGTATTGATTAATTCAAAACGTTTCAGGTAAAAACAAAAATCCTATCAAACACAACCTAATTTTTGGTGACCCTTGTGGGAACATAGGCGATATTTAATGTTGAAGTAATTTCGGTTTCAGGGTCACATCAGTGTCAAGTAAGAATATTCTTGCCAATGGTTGAAAATCATGTTTGTTAAGAAACATTTTAATTATTTGAAACAAGAATACCATGCAATGTATTGGGCTTCCCTTTCACATGATACGCATTGGGTGTGTGATTGAAAAAGTTTATATTTTAACCAATCTTCAATTGAAAAGGTGATGTTTTTGTAACACTTCTTTCACATGGAACTAGTTCTATTCTCCAACTTGATATAGAACCAAATGTGTTTAGCCATGGGTCGACTCATGATGTCATAAATATGTTAATAAAATATTGGTTTTTATTCTTTAACTAGTCAGGACTCGTTCAATGTACGGGCTTCATTTATAAGCAAATTTAAGAATGGAGCTCTATGACACTTTCAATTAAGTGGTGTCATTTAATTTTTTTTATTTTTAAATAGATTATAATTTTAAATGGATGTGGATATAATGTAAATATATCTTAATGTATTTAAAACTATAGTTAAATTGAAATGGATATAGATATAGATAAAGTTAACGAATTTTAGGCAATTTCATGGATTAATGGAGAGGAGAGAGAATTAGTGGCATGAGTTATTGAAGGAGAGAGTTAATGGCATAATTAATGATGAGAAATTATTAAACGAGTTAATGGAGTAAAAGGAAAGAGAGAGATAATGATGAGTTAAGGAGTGTTAAAAGTCTTAAAGATGATTGATTCACTTGAGTTATTTTGTTAAATTTTAAAATTAGACAATTTAAAACCACTAGAAAAAAGATGGGGAAAATTCTTGACCCTAAAATTAGATAATTCAAAATTAAACACAATTTGAAAGTTAAGGATAATACAGAAACACGTTTTGAATCTTGGGGACTGACTTGACACAACCCCCAAAATTCAAGGTATTGTTCAAGAATTTTCCCAAAAAGATAAATGCATTTTGAGAAAAAACCAGAAAGCAGGAAAGTGTAGCTTGACACATTAGCGATTAGCGATTGAGGCTTTTTATCTATCATCTTCATTTTTTGGGAAAAGACTTTTCTCGAGTCCAGAGTCTTTTAACTCTTTATTGGAAATAATGCCAAAACCCCTCTTCCAAACTCTAGAGCAAAGCTATACGGTGATGAACGCTTCCTCACTCAAGCAAGGAAAATGAAAGGGCAAATATCTTAAAAGTATCCCCAAGTCTTAGGAAATTGACTTATTCACAGTATCCTTGTTGTTTAGACATTGATTTAAAGTACCCCTAAGTTTTTTGACAATTGACTAAATTCTCCTATTGTTAGTTTCATTAACGAAAATATGGAAAAAGACTATTTTACCCATCATTCTTCTTTAAGTTTTTATAATGAAACATTTGAAATTTTTCAAATCTGCAAACACAATTATAAGTCTCAACTCTCACTTTCTCTCTGATCTCCGTGCTCTATTGCAATGAACGAAAGCTATAGAAAAATCTTCTAAATTTGCAAACCCAGTCTCTAAGACTCAACTCTCGCTTTCTGTCTCCATCTCTGTGATTTGTTGCAGCAAAACCGAATCGGACGACGGACATTGAGAGAGATGTGAGATGAACTCTCAGTTTTTCCAATCAGCTTGTACTGCAATTCCAACGTTGACTGCATTTGTGAATCCTCCAGCCCTTGCAATTTCTTCCATTCATAAGCGTGTCAATACTTTGAACCATGCCTACAACTAATAGACCTGGAGGAATGCCCACTCATGGGAGATTTTGAAATACAGAGTTCTAGAGGGACCATTGTTTCAAGAAATGGTCCTATGAGCAAAGAGAGTTGAAGGACCCCTTTGTGAGGGTTGCTTCTGAAAGTAGGAAAATGCTTGTTTGTTGCTTAAGTGGCTTGGGCCACGTTGAGCAGGAAACCAAAGGACAACTGGACAAGTAAACACCAAGCTTAGGTTGGCCTAGTTTTAGGGCTTATTTGAGAGGGCTGAACTGAAATTTCAGTTAAGCTGGTTCAGCTGCTTTAAAGAGGTGAGGATGAATTATTCATAGAAGCAGAAAGCTCTTCAATTCACTGATGGACAATTGATTTGGGCTGTTCCAATTTTTTCACCAAACATAGCTTATAGGATGTTCATGTGGGGCCCACCTCAGAAAGCTAGTTGTGCCTCATCCCTCCCAAATTTGCACTAGCTGCCTAGCTTGGGCTGCAGTATAATTGTGACAGGATTGACCTCGGGCTCGAACCTTTAGCCCAAATCTTAGTGTTGGGCCTGGGTTGACCATAAATCCGTCCTAACCTACCTGACTTGCACCCCTATAACTGTGAAGGGAAGGATGACCATGGGCTGGTCCAATCCTTATTAAGTGCATTGTTCAGGCCAAAAAAAAAAGTCAAGAGTAGGACTATACCCAATCTGCCCCTCCCAACACCCCAAATAATTAAGATTAGGGTTGTAATTGTTTCAGATTCTGCAACATGACTGATTTGACTAATGAAATCTTAAGGCTCAATTTAAAAAGAGTTCAAATACAAATTTGTACAGTGCAAATACATACAAAATAATACAAAATTCAAGGTTTTATACTCTACAAAATTGTATTTGTACTCATTCCAAATTGAGCCTAAATGGAAAATCCAATCAGATTTAAGAATCTTGAATGAGATTCAAGTTCTATCGGGCTCGATCGGAGTAGAATTCAACTTGATTCATAGTTTTTAGGATAAAAGACTTAAATATACCTTGAGTTTTAATTAATTGACTTAAAATTTCATTTAAAATTTTTAAAATCCTATTTTGCCCTTTAAAGACCTTTCTATCTGTTCATTTTCCCTATTATTTGAAATATAATAAGGAAAATTTTTAAAAACCAATTTTGCCCCTTAAAGACCTTTCTATCTGTTCATTTTCACTATTATTTGAAATATAATAAGGATGGCCTTCACTGGTCAACAATTAGCCCAGAAAATAAGTGTTACACTACACAGGGTTGCAAATATATGCTAAACTATTTACCAATGCATATCCATTACATTTTATGGCATCAGTTGGAGGAATTTATTTTTTTCTTTTGAAAATGATCAGTTGGAGGAATAGATCATGAGGTCTATCTGCATAAATAGTTGCGTTTTTATTTTCTTCTTGATCTCTGTGAGAGAGTATTCTGTTAGGCACCATAGCTCCAGGTAGGAAAAAGAAGAGCTCCATGAGAGAAATTGACCATAACAGTATGGAGTCCAGATCTGCGAGTGTTCTTCACATCAACCTTACCGCATGTCCTGGCTGCACGTCAGAAACATCTTCCGTAATTGTATTTATTATTCATGGGAGATACTCCCACTATACAGTGGGATGTGGCTCTGAGATCAGCGTGAGGAGAGATCTATGAGGAGCAGATCCCAATTCAACAATATGCCCCTAAAAAAATTGGATATGCCCAAGCCCTAAATCATTCCCCTTTTCCAAATGTGATTACCAATTGCTTCTTTTAATTTTTCCTGTATTATTTCCAAATGGAGTTGGTCCATTTATGTTTTACTTGAGTTAATTGGATATATGTTTCTGAGAATTCTTTAGATCTTTTAGACTCCATTTAGCATTCCTTGTTTTTAAGGACTTGTCTCCTTTTTTCCTTATTTTGCCATCCATTCATAGGGGCATTTTAACTGCAAAAAAGACAAGTTCTTAAATTAAGGAATGCCTAATGCAGCCTTAACCTTTCCAAATGGCATAAATATATCAACTATCCTAACCAAGGTTCAATGTATCGGCACAGGCCGATATGCCGGTATCGGTGCTTTTTTTTATGTTTTATTTATTTTTTTTTTAAACCGGTTCAGAAGGGTCAGTTTTAAGTCCCAACTATCCACTGAACCATGGTCTGACCCAATATAACCCCTGTAAGGGCATACCAGGAAACTATCGGCATGATACATACAGGTCGATACGTGTCAATACTTTGAACATTGATCTAACACTTTTTGCCCACGTACCCAAGAAAGAAAAAAGGACTACTTTTTGCCACTTTCATAAAATATTTAATGATTTTAATGGGAAGTCCAAGGTAGGGGTCAGCATATCCTTGACGAATTAAAGTTGACATACTTACATAAATATGCAACTATGTCATGCAAAAAATATACAAAAAAGGCAAATTTTTAAATCCAAGTATGATCACCTTCCTTCAACTTGAATAAGCTGGAGATACAAAATTACAAACCCTAAGTTTGGTGCCCAATGTTTCAAATATTTGATACAAAAATATGGCTTATGGAAACAGGTAGACCACAACAGTAATACAACCAAAAACACAGAAGGGCTTTATAGTGCCCGAGGTGCAGATGAAGCAAGTCACAAATTTTTGAAAAAAAAAATCAAAACATATATATGTAACCCATGATCAAAAAAGGACATGGCTTGAAGTGGGGAGAAATGATTTAAGAGTCCATAATTTAACAATGGATACTGCACTGAACAGAGCATTATGGCAGAAGCAGGAATCATGTGGCCAACCAACCCTATGCAATTGGGACAAGGCTTGGTTGAGTTGAGCCGAATACTCGAATATATACAAAAACCTGTATTAAATAAATAACTACTTATTAGCTCAAATCAAAATATATAAGCATAATATACAAAACAAATTCAAAATGAAAGTAAAAACAAATAAATGCGGATTGTGTCAAAGTACTTTTAGGCAGTCAACAATTTAAGCGTGTGAAACCCTCAATATATATGATTATCTCCTAGCTGCATGCCTGCATCACTTCAAATGGCTAGTTTGATGTTAAACATCTTACATGCCCAACCCTAGGAGATTGAGCTATTTATGGAGGTCAAGGACCAATAAGCTGCAACCCCAAACAAGCCCATGCGGGAGTTGGGGGGCAAAGCTCCAACCTGATTTCTTGGCCCATAAATATAAGGGGTGGTTTTGTCACTTAGATCTCATGGAGGCCAAGGGCCAATAAGCAGCAATCCCAAACAAGCCCATGCGGGAGTTAGGGGGCAATGTTCCAACCTGATTTCGTGGCCCATAATATAAGGGGTTGGTTTTGTCACTTCAGTTTATTCTATTTTAGGGCTAGGATCAGTTTGGGGCATCTTTTTTTATTTTTTATTTTTTATTTTTTTACTTTTTCAGTTGAAATTTTGCTATTTGAGATCCTATCTGCAACAACTAGGGCTTAAAGTATTCACAAGGTCTTTATTTTTGTTTTGAAAGTTGACAGATCATTACCAGTGCACAAACACCAATAAAAATTATTTTAGAAGTTAATAGACCATAAAATTAACAAAATGCAAACTTATAAAAGGCATACGCCTAGGTGCACTAGGCACGCATGGTTTCACTTTCACCTAGGTTCCAAGCAATTAGGTGTGCCTGAGGTGCACCTTTTAAAGCGCTGTCTGAAACAGCAATCAGAATGAAACCCATATCTAGCAGCAATTTAGAACTTGCCAATCATTTTTTCCGGTAGTCTCAAAATGGAAAATTTTCCTGGTTTTGGGACATATCCGCCCAAGCATGTTGCACTGACTTTTGGGGGAAAAACATGAAGAACATCAAATTACTGTCCAGACATTAATCAAACAAATAAATTTTGCATAAGAAACAGAAATTAAAGGAAAAAAAAATGCAGAACAATCCCTAAACAGTCCCAGACAAGAATAAAAGAATTCAACAAATGTCAATATGAAGATAAACATTTAGGCAACCAAGAAAGTGAAACTGTGGCCTACCTGTCATCTGAGATCTTGTGCTAATAAATTCCAGTGTATTTGAAGTCAAACAAACAGACCCATGATCAATGAAAATAGACAACAAAACCCTGAAATCACCCATCTCCAACTCCTCTTGCTCTGAAAAAACTGAAGTGTTAATACAAGAAACCTGATTACAGAAGATTGCTAATACAAATGAAACAACAAAAGGATATTTCGAAGAAAACAAAGAAGGTACATGAAAGTAAATGCAGAGAAAGAAAACTATGTTATAGAGAGATGATAGCTCTCTTTTCCTCTTTCTATTTCTGAGAGAGAAAGTGAGTGAATGAGAAACAGTGTTAGAATAGTAGAGCTGAAAGGGGGGAGGGGGGCTAAGAGAGTTGCAGACTTACATGGAAAATAGGAAACTGAGAATTGCAGCATCAAAAATTAAACTGCAAAACCCTAGCCACTACTCAATGGGTACCCTTGACCCAACCTAACCTAACCCATTTTAATTGAGCCAATGGTTCGCTCATGCATATTCAACTTGCATCTTAAGATGGGTTTGGATGGTTTATAAAATGGATGGGTTGGGTAGGTCAGGTAGGTTGGATAGGTTGGGTCAGAAATTGCCACCCCTATGTGAGACTAATAATGCCTTTTGTTTACTTCACTTTTTTTTTATTTTCTTTTTCTGGTCTTTCTTCCACTTTAGAAAGGGGGCACAATGAGGGTTACCCTTTCTTCTTCAGGCTGTTCACTAGTTCACGATTGATGCTGTTACCGGAGTTGGTTGAAGCAGCAACCTCACCTGTTGGTTGGAGTGCGGTGGGAGAACAGGGGACACACTGGCATTGTGGTTGCATGCAGGAAGCTGGGAACTGGTAGACCCTGTTTTTAACACAGATGTAAATCAGTCCTCTAATATCAAGATTAAACTTGTGATTAGCAGAATAGAACAGATCTGAATAACTGTATAAGAGAGGAAGATGGCGAAGA